GGGGTGGTATGTGTTTTCCAAGGACAAACAGGTGTGACAGGTTTTGGAAAGGGGTCAGAGAAAGTGTGGGGGAGACATAGAGAGAGAGATGGGCCGGTGAGGTCTAAGTGGGAGTAGGGGAGGGGTAAGCAGAAGGGTTAGTTGTGTGGCATCGTTATAGGACTGCAGAGCTGGAAAGGGACCTATTGAGTCGGGTTAATGGCTCTGGGAGGGTTTGAAAGTTATGGGTTGAAAAGGAGTGTGTGGGAAACAAGGGAGGAGAGGCTAAAGGAGTCTAGGAGAGATGGGGAGGCTGGCAGTAGAAGTGGGCCTGTGAAGGGAGGGCAACTGACTTTTGCATGTCAAGGGGTAACCCAAAAATGGTGTGTAAACCGCTGAAGGGTAAAACTGGAGGAGTGTGCAGTCAGTGGCTATGAGGAGAGTGGAAGGAGAGTAGCCCCAAGCTAGCTGTAAGAAATTTGGAGAAAGAGTTGGTTGGAAGGGGATGTTAAAGGAAGGCATATTTTGGAGCAAACTGAAGGGTTGGCAGTTCAAAGTGGTGACAGAGGGCAGAACTGTGGATTAGACAGCTAACATTGGAACTGGGTGGGTGGGGGGCTAGGGGGGGTTATACATTGTCCAGTGCTAAATGTCACAGAACTGTTTTAGAAGTTGTGCTGTTTAAGTGTAACATCTTCTTTCTGTTTGATTATAACATAAACTTGCAGGAAGAGTACATTACAATTACTGATTCTTGTAGTGGGTTCCCTGAACAGTTCCTAATTTCAAGGGATTCAAGGATATGATCAGGAGGGAGCTGAAAGTGTTCGGGGGGACAGGTCCTGGAAGTTCTGATCAGGAATGAGTATGGCAAATATTATTTATAGAGGGGCTGTAACTTCAGTGCAGGAGCTTTAGAAGATTTGGGGAAGGTATTGGACTGTGAAAATCTTATCTGGGTGGTGTGGTGGTGGAGAAGGGTCTGCCTTCATTGGGGTTGGAAAGGGTGACAGAGTCCAAATGATGAAACCTTTCAAAAGGTGATTGTCCGGAGAGCCAAAATGCTCTCAAGGCTGCAGTAAGCTCCATTGACTCTGTCCCTTTGGAGGCCCCTAGTATCTTGATTTTTGTTCTTCTGAGACAAAAATATCCTGATCCATGTGTGCCTTGAAGTATTCCCTTAGTCAGTAAATGTGCAGTCTTCACATTTTTATCAAACTGATGGTGCAGACCCATCCGAAATAAGCCCTGCTTCCTTTCCTTGGAAGGTAGTGAACGGCATTTCTTCCCGCCCCTGCAATTGTTAAAGATAAAATCCTGCTTGTCATGTTTTGGATATGCAACCCTGTAGGGCCCAGCCTCCGTCCATGGAACCCTGGCATTTCTGTGCTTATGGCCTAAATACTTTTTCGTCTTTGCCTCTATCCATGCCAAAAGCATGAGGTAACAAATCTTCACCGCCACTTGTTATTCACACCTTTTCTTAGTGCACAAGGTGGGGTAATTGGAATGAAAACAGGGCACCTGGTATGGGCTATTGCCTTGGCGGAAGGTAGAGAATGTCACTGAAGTATCTGAGCTCCTGTGATTTGGCTTAGTTTCTATTACTGTTGCAGCTTTCCAGGCTGTGAGGGAGAAGAGTGGCTAAGTCCCAGGTCTAATTCAGCTATGCAAGGATTAAGGGTTTGTAAAGGTAATGAATAGTTATCGGCAAGTCTGCCAAAGCTTTTATCCTCCTGGAAAGGTTTGTTAGCTTGCCTGGACTGAACGGCCTTGTATCTGATCTCTTGCTAGATGTTTGTGAGTGTTGCTCAGATCATAGTCTTGTGCTCAAGTTTTCCTGATCCCATTGGGGCTTATCTGGGTGAAATGTTTAGATGAAACCTATTGCTCGTCATCCTTGTGAATTGGTGAAACCTTGCAGATTGGGTTTTTTTTTTCCAACCTTTGGTCCTTCAGATTTCTCAGCAGCATTGGTAGCATGGATAATGGTCAGGGGCTTGAATTCTAAAACATCTGGAAGTCTAAAAATTGATAACTGTGGCTTTAAAGGATGAAGTATATGTGCATAGTAAGCAAGGCATGGTTGCCACACCTTGACCTCTCTTCTCCCTAGAGGGAGCTCCAAAAAGTGGTGGATGGGCTGTAGCTGCCTGCCTTAATTTGACCACAGCTGGCTCAAGACGTGTAGGTAGGACTGCTGTGAACTAGTGAACACTATAAGATATAGCCTTTCCGAAATGGCACTATTCCCATGTGTTGGATGACTCCTCTCATCAGATAGTGTCATATTACTCACCACATCTGGAGAGTACTATTTCTGAGAAGGCTGTAGGAAGAAGTGGGGCTTTGCCTTTCTGCTCTGAATGGGCAAGACTGCTCTGTGGGAGGGTTGGAATTCCACAGCCTTCCAACTAGAAATTCTGCCTGAATTAGGTGTTCCCTTGAATGTACACCTGGAATATCAAGAATAATGTCGCTCCCCATGGTCTTGGGGGAAGGCAGAAAGCCGTGGCAAAGGGAGATCTTAGAAGAGCTGCAGGTTAGCAGCAGGTCTCCTCTAGGAACCAAGAAATCACTTATTTTTCTGTTGCAGACATTTTCTGCACTTTTGTGTGTGTTGGAATCAGAGGAGAAATGGCTAAATGTGAACGGTAGGAAATAGAGTGCCTGAGGAGGTGGGAAGCCAGGGTGCTGCCTCTGAGCGGGCGCCCAATAGAGGAGGCAGGGCTTTTTGTTCACCTGCTAAACGAACCAGCACAAACTAGCCGTTTGTGCCCATTTCTAGTAGGAAACGCAGGACAGGATTTGGTGTTCCTTGGCTGAACAAGCCCGAATGTCACTTAGAAGAGTGACAAATTTATTATAGCAGAGGATTTTGAGGGAGAGTCTGTGGTAATGAAAGAATGTGCTATAATAAACGTGTAAGACTTTAAAGTGCCACGGGATTTATTGTCCTTCTTAGGGGCAATGGGACTGCAAGTATTCAAGCCACAAGGAGAAAGCCTAGCCTCTGAGACATGCCTGCTGTGAAGATGCCGGTCCTTCTCTTCGACCAAAAACTTTTCTGTTGGCTCTGTTTCTGTGTTTAGTGACAAAAATCCTTCTTCTGTCCCTGATAAATCTGTTCTGCTTCAGAGAAAAGAGTCTGCTCCTTTAATTAGACTATTTTGAGATGACCTTTGTTTTCCCCCCTTCTTATTGCATAATGCATGGTTGGAGGAGATTTAACTGAACAGAGATAATTTAAAACTGTCGAATGGAAAAAGCCCAGCAGTAAGAAATGCAGCTTTTCTTGCAAATCAAAATGTTTGGGGAGGGTTCGTCCTGTGTTTTGTAGCTGCCAGCTAGGATTACAGTGTGTGTTTTTTATATATATAATGGAGGCTTTCGTTGCCCTGCAGTTATTTGTGGTGAAAAGAGTGATGTGGAAGGCATCTCCTCCTTTCTCTTGAAAGGAAGAGGTTTACGTGGAATCATACATAGCCAGTGGTCCCTGCAGTCTCACCTGTGGGCAGAGACGTTGGTTTGTGTCTGCTAGCCAGCTGAGCAGCTCCTCTTCCATCACCCGCTGCAGGCAGTGTCTGCTATTGAAGCAGCCTCCACTGCTGCTGCCTGGTTTTTCTTGGGGGGGGGGAGGAAGGGAAGAGAGGCCATATGACCAAAGCCAGTGACTCAACGGCTGATTTTTCTCCTTCACATAGAATATATCTGAGCCCTGAGAGGCGGAGCACCTCCGCAGCAGGGCGGCTGGGAGCAGATCATGATTTTTCACCAGTGGTGAGAAAATAGTCTGGTACATAAGTGGCTGGTGATAATGAGGGGGAGGAAAACCGTCTTCGCTGGCAGCAGGGGAGAGGAAGAAGATACAGGGTAAAAGAATGCAGGAACATGAAAACTCTTGAGGACAATTATGGTGGCCTCCCAAAATTCTTCATTTACAAACAGGTAACCTGAAGCCCAGGTTACGGAGAGCTATACATTGTTTGGTGACAGTCTTACGTCAGTATACTTGTGTGGACAATAACAGGCTTGCCCCATTCTTTTAAGGAATAAGTACCTGTATACAATTAGAGCTCGCCTATAATCATTGTTGTCGTCTTAGGCTACTTAAAGGAAACCTCACTGAACTCTCTGAGGTTTCCTTTCTGAGAGACGATGCCCGCAGCAATCCACGCATCCCTGTGTGAAGTTCTGTGAATGATAGTTCTCTGAAGAATCTCTGTTTATCTGCATCTTGACAAAAATGTGCTTCCCCAGGATAGGCTGTGGTTTTTTCACTTTTTAACCATGGAGGGAGGGAATCTAAAATGAGACGATCTTGGTAGATCCCTGAGAGGATGGATTTACAAATGAACTTCCATGATTGCTCTGCCAATGACATTTTAAAAGGAACTGCATCTCATTGAAACGTCTAGCAAGACCTCATGAGCTGAGCTTTGTAAGCCGTCTCTGAAATGATTGAATGTTCGGTTTTCCAGCGGTTAAGGTGGGGAATGGAGATTTTAAGACAAGCTCACCTTGCCTTACTCTTGGACCGCTGCATTGTTAGTTCTGTTTCCTGCACAAATAAGGGGTTCCTGGGAAAATTCTGAATGGGGAAGTTGTTTATGTCCTCAGTCAGGGGTGAGGAACCCAAAGAATGTATATATCATTGATGGAAAGTCTTGGGCTGCAACCCAGCAATGAAGTAAGCAGGATGGATTTCCTCTGAAGTAGAGATAGGCAAGATTTTGGTTTTGCCATCAGCCCAACACGGTGTTGTGTGATTCTCAGCCCTGCCTCCTCTAGCAGGTGCCCACATGAGAGGCAGCACCTGGTCTCGGAACCACGCAACGCCCGTTGGGTGCGGACAGGTAGACTGGCAGTTCTTGCCCATTTCTACCTAGAAGCAGCCCTTCCAGAAGTCAGCAGGCTAACCGTGTTTTCTAATCTGACATAGCAAGCAACACAGAGAATTAATCACTGCTTCCTTATACCTGAAAAACAAATTGCAGTTCCATGAATTCAGGTCATGAGCAACTTTTACTTGGGACGTTTTTTCATGACTGACTTGGGGGAAAAAGCACCAGTTGTTGTGATCGCGGCTTGGAGAAATTTGTGGCCGTTTTGCTTAGGAGACGAAGTGCTCAAGCTGCGTGATGCTAATGACAACTGAAGAGGATTAGCACATGACTTGAAATGCTTTGGGAGAGACCTGAGGGCCAAGAAAAGAATCATCTATCCAGTTGGCGTGGGGTGGGTGGAGAACCTGCTGCATTCTTGCAGGCAGCAACTGGGGGTTGTTGTTGTTTAGTCGTTAAATCATGTCCGATTCTTCGTGGCCCTGTGGACCAGAGCACGCCAGGCCCTCCTGCCTTCCACTGCCTCCCAGAGTTGGGCCAAATTCATGTTGGTCGCTTTGATGACACTGCCCAGACATCTTGTCCTCCATCGTCCCCTTCTCCTCCTCCTGCCCTCACACTTTCCCAACATCAGGGTCTTTTCCAGGGAGTCTTCTCTTCTCATCAGATGGCCAAAGTATTGGAGCCTCAGCTTCAGGATCTGCCCTTCCAGTGAGCACTCAGGGTTGATTTCCTTCAGAATGGATACGTTTGAGTCCAGGGGACTCTCAAGAGCCTCCTCCATAGCTTTGACTATGCAGACCTTTGTCGGCAAGGTGATGTCTCTGGGAGTAAGGGGTGCCACATTTTTAAAAAAGGTTCCTGAACATGCAGGCTGGGTGGGGAGATGCTTTGCCAGCCAGGAAGACCCTTATTAGAAGTTGAAAGTCCCACATGCCGTCTTAGACAGGGATCTGAGTTTAGCATTTTGATATGAGGTCAGTCGGGAAAACGTCCGTGTTCCTTTTGCCTGCCGTGTCAGCAACCTGAAGTCTTCCAGTAGCTGAAGGTCAGTCGGGAAAATGTGTTCCTTTTGCCTGCCATGTCAGCAACCTGAAGTCTTCCAGTAGCTGAAAGTATTTGAACTGAGTCGAAATCCAGACAGGCGCACATCCTATGTCTTGAATGCTATGTTGAAGCAAATGAAAAAGCTAACTTGGAAATGGTGTTTGTTGGAATCCTCCTAGGCATGATTAACAATTGACGGTGTGCTTTCTTTTGTGTTTTTAAGAGACAAGAAAGAAAAGAAAAGCCTCAAGCATTGTTAACCAGAGGTCACACTAGCTTCATTTTTATTTTATTAGGCCATTTGTCAAATAACCATTCCATCAGTTCGGAGCTCAGACTTCATTTTGAATCCAGTTGGCAATGCCAAACACGAATACGACTCTCCCCGGAGCAATCTGCCCGTCCTCTTCACTCCTCACAACAACCGTGATTGAAAGTGCCAGAGCCAAGGGCCACCAGGAAATCGACAACTAGGAATCAGCATTTTCTGCCCTCTTATTTTGGAGCAAGCAATTGTGGATGTTTTGCCAAACACCCTCCCATCTTCCCGTTTGAAATAGGCTACCCACACAACTCTGTAGGACAGCTTTTCATGGCCTTCCAACTGAAAACCCATGAGCGTTTGTCTCAGTGTTCACCGTATTATTTTAGGCTTAGGTGGTTAGGACTTTAGGTTGGGGTCAATTTTAATTTAATTGACTGTATTTAGCAGTGGCTATTAAGCCGTTGTTTACTTTTAAAATTTATTATGGGTTTTTCTTTTTCTGATTAATACGCTTGACTGTTCTGTTGTCGTCATTGTAATGCGATATCCTGGCTATTTTTACCCTGCCTAGAGAGGGGCTAAATAAATAAATGCCCAAATGGATGGGCAGTACTGGTGCTCAGCATGTTATCAACCCCGTGGCCCCTGCTCTTAAATGCTGTTTATGCATGCTTTGGCTGAAATCTTGTTTTGCAGTAATACAAGTAGTATTTTCGATGCAAATTCCTCCAAATTAAGGAATCTGTGCCAGTCTGATCTCTTACGTGCCCAGTAACGCGGCTCAGTGTACAACAGATAATGTATACGGAGATTTCGTAACTTACGGCAATTCATGTCTAAATGTTATACGGTTTGCCTTACGTTACAGCAGGATCTCAGGCTGTTCATTTGATACATAGATATTTCTTGGGTACAGTTAGCTGAAAAAAGGGAGTTAGAATGACAGTTTTCTGCCTTTCATCATTCTGGGGGACATTTCCCAAAACTAGTATGAATGTGTGGTGTGAAGCATATCCTTCTTTGTCTATTCCCAGAACTAGTATGAATGTGTGGTGTGAAGCATAGCACTGAATTGAATTGTCAATATGGTTCTTCTCAAATTCTCCTGTATCATGATGGCTGAGGATCCCTTAGTGGGAATCTGTTTATTACTTTGTGAAGGCTTGTCTCTTTTGGCAGGTTGTTAATCATTATCATATGAGGGATTTTATCTTCTCTGGTATTAATTTTTCTATGATTTGAGTAATGGCTGGTTTTTAGTTGGCTGTTTGAATTTGCTTTACCATAGTTACCCGGTTTAGAAACTAAAAAGTAAGCAATATATTACATGTTTCTTAAATGTATTTCTTGGCCTGCCTTATTCTAGACTTAGGAGCAGACCCAGGTAAAAGCTTTCAAACGTTCTGTTTTGGATAAGACGTGCTTTTTCTGGATTCGCCTGCAACCAGAAGACCCTGTTTGCTAGTGTAGTCAACTAATAACAGTGATGTGTGTTTTTATTCTCTGTAGTGGTGGATCGTCCAGGGTTGAAGAAGCATGTGACATATACGCAAGAGCGGCCAATATGTTTAAAATGGCCAAAAACTGGAGTGGTACGTAGCATTCCTTAATTAAATGTTGTTCATATTCTGCAGAACTGCATTCTTGAACTGTTCAGGAGAGTGTTCCTTTCCTGGGCTATGAAGCCAGTCCCTTTTTCTTGTACTGTATAGATGTTTACCCCCAAAGTCTGCAAAGCTGGAAGCCTGTGGTTTTCTAGGGAGTGAATTATCCAGAATACAGTGTGAAACAGCAAGCAGTGTGAGGCCCTCTTGTCCTTGCCTGTTGCTTCTGAAAGGTCAGTTTAGATTTCACAGTTTTTGCTTCCGATAGGAAGGATGTCCCATGGAAATCACATGGCTCTGCATAATAAATATTCTGGCTTCTCTTCACGAGAAGTCACCTACAGGCATTTGCTGACACTTAGTATAGCCCAGCATGTGCACAGACTAAAAGCTTGGCGTAACACAGTGCCACATCCTAGGAAAGGAAATGAGAGAGTCCGCTGACTGTCTTGATGGATCCCACGCCTGTTGCTGCCAGCGGTGGTTGGATGATGCTAGAGATTTAAGAAGACAGTTCTGCTGTCAGGTACCGAACGTGGGGAAAGGAGGGTCATCGGATTGTGTGCCCAAGCCCTTTACCTTTGGCCGTCCTCTTGTTTCTAGAGCAGGGGTGGACAAGAGGAGCTCTGCAGATCTTGTTGAAGCTTGTCTTTGAACCCAACGGTGCCCCTGTGCCATGCTGGTGAAATCTAACCAGTGGTGTAAGCACAGCACCATCTGGAAGGCTATATGCTTCTCATCCCTGTGCAGGGTGGATTTGATTTAAATCGAATTTTAATTGATGTACAAAACAGTTTTAAACATTTAAATAATGATTTAAATCCATTTGATTGGAAATTTTGCTGACTTTTATCCACCTTGCTCCCTGGGGCACAACGAAGAGGTTACTCCACTTGGAGGTCTTTTTCCCCCCTTCCACATCCTGACTTTAGATCTTTAACTTTTTGTTCCATACTTCCTCCCTCTGGTTACATGCTGTTTTTGTCTTTCCTAGCTGCTGGCAATGCCTTCTGCCAGGCTGCTCAGCTGCACCTCCAGCTACAGAACAAGCACGACGCTGCCATGAGCTTTGTGGATGCGGGGAATGCCTTCAAGAAGGCCGATCCTCAAGGTAGGTCAAAGGGGCTCAGCTGTCCTTTTGTTTGGTCAGGGCCTAATAGTATTTTGCTTTGGATTCAGGGGGAGGTAGGAGCCGGAAGAGGGTCCTGCGATACAGGGTCCTATCAGGCCCGTTTGTTAGTTTCACGATCCTGGTTTGATCTGAAGCTGGTACTCCCAGTTTCCAAATGCAGGCTAAATAGGGCACCGTGGTTAATTGGAAGCATCTTCTTTTTAAGTTGTGCCACAAGAGAAGAGGCTACATTTTCCTGCAGAGTATCTGCCATTGCATTAAGCCAATCATTCTTCTAGATGCAGTCATTTTATTGGACTTGGGGTATCTCTCGGCACTTAACCACGAAGTGCTGCTCACAAACTCTCTCTGTCTCCAGCACCGCAAGTGGAAGGCGGTTGAAGGAGAAAAGCTGTGGTGCCCCCCTGGCTTCCTCAGGAGATCCTCCTTTAGCTTGGTCATTTGCAGCCCTGCATAAGAGCTGCAGTTTATTTTATATATCTGAAATATTTCTTTCCAAGGGGGGGGGTGTCTTACTCTCCTCTGCCCTGGCCAGGTGTGTGGAAACCTTTCAGATTCAAAATGCATAATTACAGTCCATAAATGCATTCAGCAATGAAATGCCTTGAATGTTAAGGTTTAACCTCATTGAGAGGAACTTGCCTCTGTCCCCAATTTCTGTATGGAGTCAGAGGGGGTACACGTTTGTGTGACTTGGCATAAAATAGCAGACATAACGTTTAAACCCCTCTTCCAGTTCTGTTCATATATTTGAGACGAGGACAATGACATAAAAGCATATGCAGTTTCAATACCTTTCCTCACTTGAAACCAAATCTAGGGGAGAGTTCTTTTCACCGTTCAATGGTCTCCCTGCACAGCACCTAAGCTATTCAGAGCCTTTGTTGCCGTGTCTTCCTTGGGTCAAGAAACTGTTTCGGAGGAGAGGATTCCTTCTGCATAATTTTCTGTGCTTCAATTTTCTGTTCCTTAGCAGAAAAGAGATGGGGAGATGGACGAAGCAGAGATAGTTGCTCTGCAGCCGATTTGACTCACTAGGTGATTTTAGAGGGGAAAGATGATAAAGTAACCCGAGGAGAAAACAAATTTAATCCTCCCTGGGGATTTGCCTTAATCTTTCGGAGATTTGCATTCTGATTACCGGCTGTGATGCTGCAGCTCAAGAGCAAGCTTCGCCCTGCTCTGAGGCAGGAGGGGTAGCATGGAGGAGACGGGCGCTCCAGAGCAAACCCTGGTCCTGGAGGTTTTTTAAAACGATGGAGGTGTGTGTCACGATTGTCCTTGAGGGTTTCTTCTGTTCCTCAAAGACTGCTCTTTTTTTCTGAGAATAGTTATGGTCAGGAAAAGACTGTATGTTGTTCTGCGTTCTCTTTCCTCTCTCAAACTCACAAACACGCACACAGTAGCCTTTGTCCACCTCTGCACAGTGTGCTGAAAAGTACACCCCTCTGGTGACATCTTCTGGCTTTGTCGACCCAATTCGGATTTAAAGTGTGGTACCACGTCTCCCTGGTTGAACCTTCAGAGCTTCCGAGGGGCCGTCCCCAGTTTTGAGGAAGGACGTTTTCAGCGGTGGAATGCCTGCCGAGAGAGATTCCTCTCCCACCTACAATTCTTGTTGGAAAAGGATCATCTGATTTCCACAATCTTTTTAACCCATTCCAGTTCAAATCTGTATCATTGTTGCAACTGTTTTTTAATGTTGCTCCTGTGTTCCTTTAAAAAAAATTTTTAAAATGTATCTTGCTTCTGAGCTGCCTTGAACTTGGTATTTTAATAGTTTATAGAGAAATAAGAGTTGAATTGTACAGAGGTCTGTTGCAGAGAGAGCAGGAGGTGAACTATATGTGAGTAATTTTGTTAACATAAGACTCCATATAGTTCCTTCCTGATCATTCCCTACCTTTAAGGATTGATTTGCTCCCCTGGAACTATCCAGCAGTTATAATCTTGGGCCCCGTGGATTATTGAGTCCAGCCCCTGTCAAGGAGGCATAGTGGGGAATCGAACTCCCAGGCTCTGGAGCCAGAGATGTAAACTCCTCAGCTCCTTTGCTTAGAATAACTTTCCATTAAAACCACAGGGGCCAGAATTTGCCTCTGCCCCAAAAGCTGGCGTTAAGACTGAACAAACCGCAAGTTTAGAGCTGCAGTTCTTCAACTGGCCACGCAGGGGCAGCAGAGGAACCCAGGCTGCTGTGGCCGGGCCATAGGCTGCGCATGTCTGAATGGCTGGTTACATCATCTTCTGTCAGAATAAACTTTGGGGTTGGCGCTGGTTGCATCCATTCCTGCCTTGTGGGAGAATGCAGTGTACGTGGTTCTCCAATTTCTCTTGGCTTTCTTTCACGTCCCAGAAAATCTGCAAGACCTCATCAGTTTTTTTCTTAAGCGGCTATTGATCTCCTCCGAAAGAAATGTGCTATAAATATGCCCGGGTTTTGTCCCATGCAAGAGAGGTCATTGTTAGATGGCTTCATATCTTCCTCATACTGTTATTGAAGCTGCCAAATCTCTCTTCTTTTTTTCTTTTTTAACAGAGGCTATTAACTGTCTCCTTAGAGCTATTGAGATCTATACAGACATGGTAAGTCTGTGTTTGAAGTTCATGGGTAGTATTTTTTTTCCTAAATTATAATAAGACTATGGTATTTAGCACTCTTTCTCTGTATGAGAAGAATCCTGCCAAAAATGCAGGTGAAGATTCCAAAGCTCATGGATGCTGGCTGACGACGGGCATGTGTTGCTCAACATGGGATTTGTAGTTAGCCTCTCGTAGTATTGTTGTAGGGAGAAGAGGAATATACTCCACTAATGTACATCAAAAAATGTGTTCATGCTAGCAAAGTTAATGCCTGGCCTCAATATCTTTAAAATAAGTTAATTCTTATAAAAATCATATAAGTCAAGTTTATAAGCCAAGCTTGGTTTATCTTTATTTCACAAACCATGGTTTGTAAACCGTGTTTGTATGTGCATACTAGGTGTCTGTGTCCCAAATAAATAGGTTGGAGAATGTACTTTGTTCTGCCCATCATGTAGCTGTATCTACATTTTGCACATGTGGGAGAAGAGGGTAAAGTGGTGCCTCACAAGACGATGTTAATTCGTTCCGTGGAAATCGCTGTCTTTCGAAAACATCGTCTTGAAAACGTGGTTCCCCATTGGAATGCATTGAAATCTGTTTAATACGTTCCAATGGGAAAATCGTCGTCTTGTGAAAATCATCCATAGAAAACATCGTCTTGCGGAAAACGGTTCCCCATTGGAATGCATTGAAATCTGTTTAATGCGTTCCAATGGGGAAAAATCATCGTCTTGAGAAAATCATCCACAGAAAACATCGTCTTACGAAGTGCAACAGTGATTGCAAAAACGAATCGTCTTGCAAATTAATCGTCTTGCGAGGCACCACTGTACTTGGATTGATGTAAAAAAAAAGATCCTCTGGTTTTTTCCTGAGAATCTGGAAGCTCTGAACAGTTGCCAGCTTCCAGCAGAGCTATGAAGCACCTTGGGGCTATCACTACAGCAAACAAATGCCCATCTGTTCCAGTGTGGTGGTTTACATTTCACACACTTAATCTTTTCTCTCCTCCTAGGGTCGTTTTACTATTGCAGCCAAGCACCACATAACAATAGCAGAGATTTATGAGTCGGAGCTGGTGGACATCGAAAAGGTATGACGGGAAGAAGCCATTTATGTCTTGTATTCTGTTTTTTTCCTTCCCACGGAGTGTGCTAATAGCTATTTTGCTCTGCCTTCCAATTCCCTAGGAGCCGTTAGTTGACTAGCGTTGGGCTGGGTTATGTGTCCCTCTTCTTCAAACCCGTATGTGCGTAGTCTCTGTATGCCTAGTCTCACAATCGTTAGCCTCACCTCTGTTTCTTGTCTGCTTCCTTTCCAGGCAATAGCCCATTATGAACAAGCAGCAGATTATTATAAAGGCGAAGAATCGAACAGGTATTTGGAGAGCGCTCCTATTTCCATGCCCTTTTCTGTTGTAAGATAATGATGGGTGTGGGCTCGTTCTATTTTTGCGTGCCGGATGGGCTTCAGAAGGGAACTGGTGATCCCGTGGGATTTACAGCACACAATGCTATCTTGTTGGCTTTGTTTATCAATTCTAAACTCACTGTGCTCAGTTTTCCCTTAATAACCTCGTGGGGCTGCGGATACCCAGAAAGGATCACTGATAGGCTGCAGCTAAGTGGATGAACATGGGTAGCCTAGACAAGGTGAAGTTGTTGGTGGAAGACATTGATTTGAAAATGGGAAGCTCCTCTCTTCAGATTGAGGCTGGGCCTGCAATGTCAACTTTTTAGGTGCTTCTGGAATTAGGTGAAATGATAAACCAGCTGCTGTTCTTCCTCTCCAGTTAAACTCAGAATGCATTTAATTTCACTTTCGCCTTATAAGCAAAAATGAATCACTAGATGCACGAAATACTTATGCAAATCACTAGACTATTCATCTTGGCGAATCCTTGTATTTTAACAAGCCTCTGCCATACACTAAAGGTCTCTTACTCAGAATTCCCCCTTTATTATTTACTAAACTAATGTCACCAAGGAGCAAAGGCTGTAATGACTCCATTCTCCTGCATGAAAAGCCACCAGCCTCGTTTGGTTTTCTATTTTTCACAAGTTTGGCCACTACTAACCAGTCTGTTTCAGTGTGCTTTTAGGGGGACAAAACTGTGATCCTGCTGTGTGTGTTTTGGAAGCTAACAGAGTATTCTAGGGTCCTGCTAGTCACATGTTTTAGTTACATATTAAATTACTAGGATATACAGCATTAACTCAGTATATGTACTCAGACTCCATAGAACTAGCTTTCTGAGATTTTATCTTTTTCCAAAACCGCTGTGTATCGGAGAACATTAAGATAACTTGGTCAAAGAACTTACTGGACCTTCATTTCCCATTTTAACAAGCATACAAAGCACTCCGACCACATTGACTGACTGTGGTCTGTAGGGAATAGTTTTTCTTGCCTCCCCAGTTATTCATTTACTTGTCTCATGTGAGTAGCTTGTTTACAAGCCCGAAACATAGTTTAGTGCAGGTACATCTTGGCAGTCTTGCATGTCTCCAAGGCAAGAGCTGTTTCTTCTCCAAGTCCACACCTTACAGTGGTCTCCTGTGGACCATTATGAAAGATAGTATCATATCTGGGGACCTAGAGATCAAGTCTGCCCTTGGTGAACCAGCTTAAGCCAGCTAGTCCCTTTTCTCAGGATAGGGATGTGAATGGATGGGACTTGCTTATTTTCTTCCATTTATGCCTTCCCCCTTTTCCTCACAAAGAGCCCAAGCAGTGAACTGTTGCTTTTTGCTGTGTGTGTGTGTGTTAGATGGAAGGGATCCAGCGTGGGCCGCTTCTTCGGCACTTGCTGAAAATAAATGTCTTGCTGTGCGTGTGAGATGGAAGGGGCGCCGACTGCTGATCAGGATCCAGCGTGGGCAGCTTCTTCGGCACTTGCTGAAAATAAATGTGTATCTGTCAGGGAGCTGCATATATTAGTTGCATAACTAGTGGGAGGCACATCATTTCTCTGAACGTCACTAATCCCACACTGCAGTTCGTGAGGATGTAGCAGGGAAAGCTTGGGCAGAGAGGATGGGGGGCCAAGCCTGCCCACCCAGCCTTTGTAGGTGGGGATGGGCTTCAATGGCCGGACAGATTTCATCTTCGGAGTTGATCTCACGGCATCCGATCAGGCATGAACGAACCAATTGTTTTAGACCGCTGTTTTCGTCTCCCCCACCTCCCACTTTGCAGGCAGGTGCCCACCATTGCGGGACACAGTGACAGCCCGTTTACATGCCAGAAGCACACACGGGGGATGTTTGAGACATGCTTTATTGGCTTCCTAGAAGTAGTACTTGTTTTCTTGTTCTTCTGCAATGGATATTTCCTTCCATGTGGCTCTTGGTTGTAGGAGGGAGGGCAGAAGGGGCTTCCCTCTCCACTCCCACGTTCCCAGGACTAAATAAGCCTGCTGTTTACTGTTTGTAGACTCTAGTTTTGCCCCTTATTTTGCAGTATACTTTTTGAAGGCCTAAAGAGAAGGCATATATGAAAATATGAGCAAAGTGGGCTAAGTGAGGTGTTTAAGGAGTGGTTTTAGCAGTTCCACTCCCCCAGTCAGCTTCCATGGTTGAGCGGAGATTCGAACCCTGTTCTCCAGAGTCCTAATCTCTCACTCTGTCCACTACACCACACTGGGAATCACTCTCCATGCATAGGATGGTCCCCATTTATAACTCAGAGGTGAACATGATGGCACACAGCAAAAATACCTCCAGTTGGAATTAGCAGACATTCAGGGCACTGCATTTGGTGTTTTTCGTTCTCAAGTTGACGTTTGCTGGCTTTGAAAGAACCAGCAGATGTTCACCAGGGTAGGTATGGGAGGAGAGTTGTGGGGGGGGGGGACAAAGCTGCTCCTCTTTTCTTGTCCAGATACCTTAAATCAACAACTCCTTCCTTTGCAGCTCGGCTAACAAGTGCTTGTTGAAAGTGGCCACCTACGCAGCTCAGCTAGAGCAGTACCAGAAGGCGATTGAGATTTATGAGCAGGTGTGGTTACATTCGGTTTTTCCTCCTGCAAACCTGTGCCCTCCAGAAATGTTTCTTGTCGTTGTAAGGCCATAGGTCTACATTTTCTGTTAATGTTAGCACAGTACGTATAAATGAAGCCAGAGCCTCAGCTGTGTGTGTTCCATGCTGTAATTAAAACTGTGCATCCAGGCGGTCAGAATTCTGAGAAAAAAAAAGCTGTGGTTCCAAATACAGCCATTTTTATTTATTTATTTATTTATT